TCAGAGGCCTGCTATTTCAGAAGTGGGTGGCCAGTAGAAGGGTAAATTCTTTACAATAGTCAGTTTCTAGTTTTGAAACATCTTAAAATCAAGTTGATTATGTGGCAATCTAAAAACATAGGCATGATCCTGGTAACAGAAGATGTCCAGTTTGATACAGAATCTCTCACAGTCTGAAAAGTTTTGTTCATGTTAAATTTCTGATTTAGGTGCTATAATTAGTGACTTGAAAGTTATTTCCTTTGGGAAGGTTTTGATCACTGTGGCAACCATTTTATTTGTTATGATTCTGTTGAAAACACCTATTTCTATTTGGATAAGTTGTGTATTTTTAAGAATTTTTTCATTTAATTTAAGCCACCCAATTTGTTGCCACACAGTTGTTTATTATATTCTTTCGTAACTTTCTTTCTTTTAAGTTACTTGTAATGTCCCCTTTTTTTAATTTAAATTTTGGTTAGTTACACATTTTCTTTTTTGTTCATCCAGTTAAAGGTTTATAAAATTCTTTCCTGAATGATCAGAGTGATCTTCTGTCCTAATATATATAATTTTAAAAATAGTAAAAAAAGTATTATCACACTTTTAGCTATCAAATTAATGTTTGGTGGGAAGCATCAGCAATTTTTCCTCTTAGATTGGTCTCTTAAGGAGGTTACAAAAGCTTTCTCAGACATCCTCTAGCAGTCTTTTCAGGACTATATTACTTGGCCAACCCCAGCTGCAAAGAAGGCTATAAAAGCAAATATTTAGCAACAGGAAAAAGTGTTGTCATAATTGATTTTATTCTGTCATTTATTATCTGGGGCTAGGCATATTGTTCTTCTCAATAAAATCACCGTCAACCTCAGTGGGCAGGAGTCACTATTAGATAACCAGCTACAATGAGGGTCACTTCTAATACTCTTTTCAATCCCACGAGGCCTTTTGAATTGTGGTGCTGGAGAAGAGTCTTGAACATACCAGGGACTTCCAAGAAAACAAATGCGTCTGTTTTGGAGAAGGTGAAACCAGGTTTCTTCTTGGAGGCTAGGATTTTGAAGCTCTACCTCACATACTTTGGGCACATGGCCAGAAAAGACTGGTCCTTGAAGAAGGACATCATGCTAGGGTGTTGGATGATGGGTGGAGGGACAGCGCAGGAGAGGACGGCGCTGGATGAGATAGATTGATACAGTGACTGAGACAGTGAAGGTTGGTGTGTTGGAATTAGTGAGACTGGCCCAGGACAGGGCAGGGTTCAGAGCTGCTGTTCAGAGGGTCGCTATGGGTTGCAGGCAGTGGCACATAACAACATTAATGTCTCTCATGACCTCTATTGCTGTCTCATCAAGTTGCAAGCATCCCATACTTGACCCTTCAGTGGATTTTTGGAGGCTATAAATCACATGAGAAGAAATGGGATCTTTTTCCCATGGAGCTGCTAGTAGATCTGAAGTGCCAGAGAGGTCACACCTATGGGTTAGTGAACACATCTCCCTCTGTGTATGTATGTTGTTGTTAAGTGCTGTCAAATTGAGTATGCCTTATAGTGACCCTATGATCAACAGATCTGCACCTTGCCCTGTTGTGTGCACCATCCTGACAATGTCTGTCATGCTCAAATCCATTGTAGTAGCAACTATGTCAATCCATCTTATTAAGACTCTTCCTACTTACATATAATTTTTAACCAAAATGGGATTATATTTAAAAAGAGTATATGTATACAGTGACAGACCTTAAAAAAATTAGTTTCTATAAAGTATATTTTATATTTTTATCTTAATACAATACAGTATCATTAATATCACATACAAGCAAAATCTTACTGAAGATTATTCATAAATGATGAGAACTACATCAACAGAGAACTGCCAGAAATACAAGCTGGATTTAGGAGAGGCTGTGGCACTAGAAATTTCATTGCTGATGTCACATTGATCTTGGCTGAAAGCAGAGTACCAGAAAGATGTCTATTTTCGCTTTATTGATTATGCAAAGACGTTTGGCTGTGTGGATTACAACAAATTGTGACTAACATTGAGAAGAATAGGAATTAGAAAACACTTGATTGTACTCATGTGAAACCTATGTCTAGACCAAGAAGCTGTCACCTGAACAGAGCAAGGGAACACTGCATGAGTCAAAATTAAAAAAAGGAGTGCATCTCCTTACCCTTGCAATTTATATACTGAACAGATCATCCAAGAGGCTGGACTTGATGAAGAATATTTTGACATCAGGATTAGAGGAAGACAGATCATCCTACGTTTATGAAGATGACACACCTTGTGTACTAAAATGGAGGAGGACTTTAAGTGGACTTGAAGTGCTTCCTCCAGGAAATCAAGGACTGCAGCCTTCATTAAGGATTGCATCTTAACATCATGATAGACAGCATCATGGTAGTTAGAGAAAAGATTGAAGTTGTTAGCAAGTTCATCTGGCTCAGAATCAACATCTTTGACATCAAAAGTCAGAAAATCAAGAGATGAGTTGCACTGGGAAAATCTGCTCTCAGGGACTTCTCTAGAGTGCTAAAGAGCAACGATGTCAGTCTCAAGACTAAAGTGTACCTGTTCTAAGTGATGGTCTTCTCAGTTGCTTGCTGTGCATCTAAGAGCTGTACAGTGACTAGGGATGACAGAAGATTAATTAGTGCCTTTGAACTGTGGTACCAGAGAAGAGTGGTACCTGTACAAACAGGTCTGTCCTGTAGAGGGTTAAACCTGTTTGCTCCTTGGAGACAAGGACTTTGTAATTCCATCTCACAAACTTTGGACATATTGTCAGGATGAGCCAATCCTTGGGAAGGACATCATATTTGTAGAGTAGGAGGTCAACACAGGAGAGGAAGATCCTGAATGAGATGGATTGACCCAGTCACTGTGGCAATAGGGTTAGTTGTGTTGGAAGATGGTGAGGTTGGCTCAGGGTAGGGCAAAATTCAGAGTCGTTGTTGATAGGGTCACTGTGAGTTGTAGTTGACCTGATGGCATGTGACAATGTACTAAAAAGTAATTTAGAGAGGTTTTTATGATTAAAGTAATAATTGTTAATTATGGAAATAAAAAAAGTATTGATGATTCAGATTTAACATCCAGGCAACCCAACAGGAATTACCACTGCTAACATTGTTCTTATTCACATAAGTTTGTCCTTGTGTATATGTATAAACTTTTATTTCTATTTAAAAGGAAAAACTTCAATTTGATACTTGGATTGTTGTTTCAGCATATCATTAATATTTTGCTTTTTAAATTGCCCAAGAATAGATTGTTTGTTATTCCATAGAGTTTACATAAACAAAGTCATGGGTTTTGAAGTTATATTTTACTTTGAAAACTGTATTACAATAGGACTCAGAGTAAGTTTGATTTTATGAACCTTCAGGTTTTCACCTGTAGAGGTAAGGATAATGATTTTATAGGATATATTATGAAATAATGTCTTAATAGAATTTAAAGTACTTGTTATATAGTTGTTTTTGTTGTTCTGTGCCATCAGGTCACCTATGACTCATAGCAACTCTATGTACAGCAGTCCTAAACTCTGCTCTATCCTGTGCCAACCTTATTGTCTCCTACACACCTACTCCCATTACCCAGTCACTGTCAGTCCATCTCATCAAGGGTCTTCCTCTCCTGTGCTGTCTCTCCACCCTTCCAAGCATGACGTCCCTTTCGAAGGACTGATTCCTCTTTACAACGTGTCCAAAGTATGTCAGATGAAGCTTCAGAATCCTTGTCTCCAAGGAGCATCCTGGCTTCACCTTCTTCACAATGAACTTGTTTGTTCTCCTAGCAGTCCATAGTATATTTAATATTCTTCCCCAGCACCACAGCTCAAAGACATCAATTCTTTTTCTATCATCCTTAGTCATTGTCTAGCTTTCTAATGCATAGCAAGTAATTGTAAAGACCATGGCCTGTATCAAGCACACCTTAGTCTCCAGACTGACGTTGTTGCTCTTCAGTACTTTGGAGAGGTCTCTGACAGCATACTTTCCCAATGCAATTGTTTTAATTTCCTGTCTACTGGTACCAAGAGTGTTGATTGTAGCCTTAAGCGAACTGAAGCTGTTAACAGTCTCAGTCTTTTCACTATCTATCATGGTTCTGCGAATCAGCCCAGCGATGAGAATCTTTTTTGTTTTCTTGATGTTGAGCTTCAATCCATATTGAAGGCTGCAGTCCTTGACCTTCTGCAGCAAGTGCTTCAAGTCCTCCTCAGTTTTAGCAAGCATTGTTGTGGAATCTGCATAATGTATATTGTTGATGAGTCTACCTCCAATCCTGATGCCACATTTCTCTTCATAAAGCCCAGACTCCTGGATAATCTATTCCGCATATAGACTGGAAAGGTATAGTGATAGGACACATCGTGAGTCCTATCCCAATTTTGAACCATGCAGTGTCTCCTTGCTCTGTTCTGATGATTGCCTCATGGTCCAAGTATAGGTTTCATATAAGCACAATCAAGTGTTCTGGGATACCCATTCTTCTCAGAATCAGCCACAGTTTGTTTTGATCTACATAGTCAAATGCTTTTGCATAGTCAGTGAAACACAGATAGACATTTCTCTGACACTCTGCTTTCAGCCAATGTCCGTCTGGTATTAGCTATAATATCCCTAGGAACCTAATTATTTTCATAGAATAATTTCTGCCATTCCTTTGTATAAATCTACATACAGTATTCAGAAAAATCTTACTAGTGATTAATGTGGTTTTAAAAAAAATAAAATTCAGTAATGATGCAGCTGAGTATAATTTTCAGTAGTTGAGCATACAAAGCAGATTGTTAGAATTTCAGATTTTTTTCTGACTCTCTCATCTTTTCATTGAAGATTTTAGTGCCTCTGGTTTTGCTCCAACAAATGCTTTTGGAGTTGACAAGAAGAGGTCAAGAGCCCCTGAGTACCCTGATGCAGTTTGGAGTGACGTATCTGGAGGACCATGCAGCAGAGTACATCATTCAGCAAGGTGGCTGGGTATGAGTTGTGATGCACTTTAAAAAAATCTTTTTAAAAATAAGTAGCCCCTTGGTAGTTGTTAACAACATGGATTTTATTATAATGTTGAATAGCAGACAGTGAAAAAGCTAACTGAAAAATAACATAACTAAGATTTTACTTCTAGTAAATTAAAGTGTGGTATTTTAAAATAGTTTTTCCATTATAAAGTAGTCATGCCTACAAAAATAAGTACTTAAATAAGGGATCAGGAATAAGAAAATTTAAGACTTCTGTATCTAATGTCCCAGTTCAAGGAAAAAATGTAGTCAGTGCTTTTTAATCTCTTTATATATTACATTTAGATTTCAGCATGCTTCTATTCACCTTATTCTGAATTTTGTAGTTTATTATAGTTTAGCTACTTGTGTATCCCTAGACTATATATTATCTATTTTTCATCCTTTTACAAGTACTTATTTTATATATTCTTTTGTAACTTATTTTTTTACTCAGCCTTGTTGTTATTGTTGTTGTTGTAAAGTGCCATTGAGTCATAGGTACGTGACTCAGCGATCCTATAAATGAAATGCCTGAACATTCGTATAATTTTCATTGTTTCTCCAAGTTCATAGGATTTCCAGAGGCAAGCTGTTTCAGAAGTGGATGCCACTCCCACTTCCAAGTTTATTTTAATCGGGGAGCTCCACCAAACACTGTCCACCATGGATGACCATTATTGCACTTGACACATCAGTGTCACAGTGTTCAGCATCACAGCAACTGAGTTACCTCTATACAGCAAATGGTCAGACCAGTGCTATACCACTTAGAAGAATGTTTGACCAAAAACAATTAAAACCAGGCCTGAGGGCCACAGATTGAAATCACTCACCTTTGGCTTGGTAGCATCACTTTTTGTCCACCAGGCCAATTGAACTCTCTATGTTGTTAAGTGCTGTGGAGTCATAGGTGACTCATAGTGACCCTATGAACGAAAGACCTAAACACTTGTATAACTTTAATTGTTTCTCCAGTTTCATAGGGTTTCGAGAGGCAAGCTATTTCAGAAGCAACAACAACAACATATTCAGCCTTATGTTTTTTAAATTCTAGATATTGGTTCCCAACTTCTATTTCATTATCACTTCCCTAAGAAACCTTTTAAGATCCTTTTTTTCTCTATTTATCTCCACCTTTGAAATGATAATACTGCAGATACATTATAAATCTATTTATATAGTTTTTATACTATTTAGTCTTCCAGTTTATCAGTATAATAAATACTTTCATTTATTGAAATATTTTAAATTTCATTTCTAAAAATCATGTATACGTCATACACACACTCTACCTTGACAAGAACTATTTTGATCTTGCTGATGTACAGAAATGCAGTAGATATTCATTTTGTTTTTCATATCCAGCAACTTTGTTGAATTATCTTGTTAATTATGATTATTTCTATTTTCTGCCTAGTCATAACATCTATGATAATGTGAACTAATTTTCCTTTATGATTCTTACATCTTTTTTAAATAAAAAAATTAATTACACTAATGAAGAACTCAAATGCCTTTGTATAGTCATTGAAACACAGATAAACATTCTTCTGGTACTCTGTTTTCTGCCAAGATAAAAGTCGCAGTTGACTCAATGGCACATAACAACAACAACATGCTATATTGGTTGTTTTTTTTTTTAAAGCCTCTTGTTTAGAGTCAACAAGACGTGGAGAGAGCCTTTGTATTTAAAAGTTCATTGTTATTATATTTTAGAAGAACATTCTTCTAAGTGGTACAGCCCTCTTCTGTCAATATGCTGTACTCAGGTTACATGGGGCTGCTGGGATGTTGAACCTTGTGCCATTTGGGTTTCAGATATCTGGCATAATGGTTACCATGGTGGACAGTATTTGGTGGAGCTCCCAGTTTAAGACAGGTTTGGAAGCAGGAGTGGCATCCACTTCCTAAATAACATGTCTTTGGAAACTCTATGAACTTTGAGAAATGGTAGTTATCGAAAGGCTTCAGGTCTTTTGTTCATAGGATCACTATGAGTCGTGCTCGACTCAGTGGCGATCAGCAACAACAATGAAGATCTCAGTGTAGTATTGATATAACTGATATTACTGAATATCCTTGTCTTTTTTTTTAGGTTAAGAAAGAGTGCTTATAATTGTTTTACATGAAGTCTTCATCATTGTCAGGGAGTAGGGTTGACTTGAAATTTTTATTGTGCCAGTGAGTGAGAATAACTTGTCATTTTTCTTGTCTGGTTTTAATATTAAGGACATGCCAGCTTCATAAAAGAATTTAGAATTGAGGAAAACATTTATTCTTTTTATGTACTCTGGGATGTTGTTATTGTTAGATGCCATTGAATTGTCTACAAATCATAGCAACCCTATGAACAGTGATCTGAATCTTGGCCTATCCTGTGCCATCCTCATTATCCCTAAAATACATGAGCGTATTGCTGTATTTATTGTGTTGATCTGTCTTGTTGAAGGTCTTTTTATCTTGCCCTGATCCTCCATCATTTCAAGCATGATTTTTTTTTCAAGGACTGCTACCTTTTGACAATATGCTCAAAAATATACCCCATGTTGTTGCTGTTATGTGCTGTCGAGTTGCTTGTGACTCAGCAATCCTCTGTACAACATCCCTGAAACCTTCTCTGTCCTATGCCAAGTTCACTGTCTCCGACACACCTACCTTCTTTATCCCAATCACTGTATCAATCCATCTCATCGATGGTCTCTCTTCTCCATCCCTCCACCTTGCCAAGCACAATGTCCCTCTCCAAGGACCGGTCCCTCCTTCCAACATGCCCTAAGTATGTCAGACGAAGTCTCAGATCCTTTCTTCTAAGGAGCAGGTTGGCTTCACCCTCTCTCGGATGAACCATGGAACATTCAAAACTCTTCTCCAGCACCACAGCTCAAAGGCATCAATTATCTTTCTGTCATCCCTAGTCATTGTTCATATACCCCATACTCTGGAATATTTTTATATTTTTCTGAAATAGTTTTTGTGAAGTTCAAATTATTTGTGCCTTTCTTTTTATAGTGTGCTTGTAAAACTATTCTTTGTATAATGTTTTTTTCTTTTAGAAATTCTTATAATTTTTCTAGACATGATTCTTCAAGTTGTTTTCTCCCCTAAATTAAATCATTGTCATTTTACTGTTGCTGTTGGCAATGAATATTAAATATACCCTAGACTACCAAAAGAATAAGCAAGTCTATCTTGGAAGACCCCAGCTTAAGCCACATTGTCTTACAATAGAAACTACTAGGCTTGAGTAACAAGAAGAAAATCTTGAAAAGGTACCCAGATAAATACATTATCTTTATTTGAAGAGACTATTTCAAAGTGTTATAATGAAATGTACAAAGACCTGGAGTTAGAAAATTGAAAGGAAAGAACAAGGGAGACATTCCTTAAGCTGTGAGAACTGAAAAAAAAAAATTGAAACCTCCTCAAGCTTCGAAAGGGACATTATGCTTGAAAAGATGGAGGGTCAGTGAAGAAGAGGAAGACCCCCAATAAGATTGATTGACACGATGACTTCAGTAGTGGGTTCTAGTTTGTCAAAGATGATGGAGATGGCACAGGATAGGGCAGGGTTTAGGTTGACTGTTCATAAGGTGACTATGAGTCATATTCAATGACACCTTACAATAACAAGCTGTAAGAACGGAAGAAGAAAATTGAAACCTTGAGTATTCAAGCTAGAATTCTCTAGGCAACACATTAAATGTCATAGGCTGTGTCAATAAATATGTAAGGAATACATGGAGTTACAGTTCCATAAAGAATTTCTGAACCATTTCAGGAAGTACCATGTAATTAAGAACTAGTTGTATTGAAGGAAGAGGTGAAAGCTGTACTGAAGGCACTGGCAAAAAGTAAGGCTTCAGAAATTGGCGGATATCAATTGAAATGTTTCAACAGACAGATGCAGCCTTGGAAAGACACCTGCGTGGCCAGCCTACTAAAAGAGATTCGTATTTGTGACCATTCAGAAAAGAAAAACTATACTAAAAGTATGTGGAAATTATAAAAGAATATCATGAGTATCACATGAAAAGAAAATCTTGCTGGAGATTATAAAAAATTGGCTAGAGCAAGTACATAAACCGAAAACTGCCAGAAATTCAGGTTTCATTCAAAAGGCATCATAAAACAGAGGTTATCACCGCTGATGTTGGATGGATCTCTGGTGCAGGCAGAGAATATTAGAGAGAGGTTTACTTAATGTTTGTTGGCTATGCTGAGACATTCAGTTCTGTGGATGATAGTAAATTAGGGATAGTATTGAAAAAAATGGGAATCACAGAACACTAAATTGTACTCTTGCAAAAACCTATCTGTGAATCAGGAAGCAGTAGTTCAAACAGAACAAGGAGACATTGCGTGGTTTAAAATCTGGAGAGGTGTGCATCAGGCTTGTAGCCTTTCACAATACATATTCAGTCTATATGCTGAGCAAATAATTCTAGAAGCTAGACTATGAGGAAGCATGTTGCATTAAGATCTGAGGAAGATTCATTAGTGACCTGCATTATACAGATTACATAACTGTGCTTACTGACAGTTAAGAGGACTTGAAACACTTACAGAAAGAGTTCAGAAATGTAATCAGTATGGATTATATCTCAACATCTGGAATAAAGTCCTCATAACTGGATTTATAGGCAGTATCATGATAAATGAAAAATTATTGAAATTATCAATTGTTTTGTTTTGCTTGGTCCTGCAGTTAATTTTCATGGAATCAGCAGTCAAGAATTCAAAAAGTATATTGCATTGGGCAAATATACTCTTAAGACTTCTTTAAAATGCTAATGAGTAAGGATGTCAATTTTAAGACTAAGGTGTACTGACCTAAATCATGGTATTTTCAGTTGTTTTGTATGCACCTGAAAGTTATACACTGAATATGGAAGACTGGAGAAGAATTGATGCCTTTAAATTGTGACGTTAGTGAAGAGTATTGGATATACCACAGATTACCTAAAGAACAAATAAATC